TTCAGCAATTTCTTTCTGTGTCTTACCCTCTTGCTTGAGGGTGTCAATGATGGCCTTTTGGACAGCAGTCAGGTCAGCAGTCTTACCCATGATTGCGATTTTGAGTAATGAACAAGGCTGGGAGTTTTTAAAAGCCTCAGGAATCTTTTGTGTATATGTGTGTGTATATGTATGTATGTGTGTATATACATACATATATATATATATATACATACATATATATATATATATACATACATATATATATATATATATACATATATATATATATATATATACATACATATATATATATATACATACATATATATATATATATATGTATATATATGTGTATATGTGTGTATGTATGTATGTGTGTGTGTGTGTATGTATGCATGTATGTATATGTGTATATATGTATGTATGTATGTATTTGTGTGTATATATAAATATGTATGTATATGTATGCATGTATATGTGTGTATATGTATATATATACATACATATTATTTTTTTTGAATGAATGTATGTATGTATGTATGTATGTATGTATGTATGTATCTATCTATCTTTTGCAGGTGTTTAGAGTTATGTCGTTGATTCAGATGGTTAGGTTAATAGCTTGTTTAGAGAACCTTTTCATGATATGCTAATTTTTTAGGACAGGCATTTTTGGGTTTTCATGAGCTGTATGCCATAATCATCAGTATTAAAACAATTAAAGACCTGAAATATTTCAGTTGGTGTGCAATGAATCTGAAATATATGAAAGTTTCATTTTTATCATTACATTATGGAAAATAATGACCTTTATCACAATATGCTAATTTTTTTAGAAGGACCTGTATACTAATAGAATGTCAGGACTTTTGACATTTTGAGTTTTTGGGATTTACTCATATTAAATTTGGTATTTTTTAAGTCATAATAAATACAATTTAGGAGAGTTTCCCCATTTTTGCTGCATTATGGGATTCTGAAGATGCCTTTGTATTTTTTTCTTCCCCTTTTTGTTTGATAAAGTTTTTGAACACACTTTAGATTTTAACTTTTAAATTTTTTATTTTTCCAACTAAACTTAATTTTTTTACTTTTATTTTCATTTTTCCAACTAAACTTAATTTTTGATATTTGACTCCGGAGGATTCTGGGAACACGAGGTAAACTCGAGATGTCGGCTGACGGCTCATCGAGTCCAGTAACGATCTTGGGTTTCTGAGTGTTCTCTGGGGTCTCTGAGCAGCAAAAGTCTTCCCCAGAACCTAATCACCTTACCTTACTTTGGCTCAACAGAGTGAAGATAAATATATTTCTATTTTTCCTCAATGGAGCTTATGGATTTATAATTTTCTGTTTTTACTCATCGGAGCTTTACAGATTTATAATTCTTTGGTTCAGCTCATTGGAGCAAAGGAATTACAACACGATTGAACTGTTTTGCCCCTTGGACATCAACCAACAATCAACAGTAACACGTTTCAAGTAACAAGTGGACTTTTGACTACTGACTTTGTTATGTAACCTGATAATCACTATGGATTTCTGCTTTAAAGCTGTTACCCTGCAAATCATCAATTAAAGCAAAGCATAAAATGTAAGATTCTGGACTATCATTTCACCACTTCGTGTTCATGGATTTAAGAAGCTTGGTTCAATTTCATCAAAAAAAGAGGCTTTTAAAGGTTTCGCAGCTTGGATTGAACACCACCCTGGAATCTCGTGCCTAGATTCTAAAAACTACCGGATCGGTAACAATTGCAGGTGAGCGGCCAAAATGTTAGTTAACCCATGATTAACGATTTAACCCCGCCTACTAGGTTGAACGAGTCACGGGATGAGACAAGGGTGTGACTAGCAAATGATGGTCGTGAACAGTCTGGGTGAATGACCTCCAACACAGCCTTAAACAGAACTAACCTAATATCACTCTGGGTAAAGCTCAAGTGTTAGATTAGTTCAAATACCCCTTAGAGGAGAGGCTGCAGTGGGGTTTGTCCATAACTCATGTGGTAATCTCACTGGTTAGACAAACACAAGCTAGTAGATGTAGCTAAATATGCTAGTAGATGTAGCTAAATATGCTAGTAGATGTAGCTAAATAAGCTAGTAGATGGAGGTAAATAAGCTAGTAGATGTAATCTGCAGCCACTTCAGCTCATCTTCCATCCCTCGTTCTCAGCAGGCAGCAGTATGATTATATTGTCCTTTTTGAGCTGTGACAAGTGGTGTTCCTACGTTTAAATTAAATTCACAATGCTCTGAGAAACTACATTAGCTCATACTGTTCACACATAAACAAACATTGTTTCTGGTCCGCGTCAGAAGTTGTGCCAATAATTCACTCAAGCCAGCATGGGGGCTAGGAATAATGTGGATAAAAAGCACGTGATCACATCAGCAGGAGCTCAGTTTGCTTCCAGAAGTCAGACTTCTGCTCCAAACCTTCACATTACTCAGGATTTACCTGATTCTTGCTCCAACGCTTGTTTGTTTATTTACGTCAAAGAACATGAAGTAAACAGACAAATGGTAAATGGACTGTACTTATATAGCGCCTTTCTATCTTATCGAGATACTCAAAGCGTTTTACATTACAATCTGTGTCCTCATTTACCTATTCATACAGCACTCTACTAGATCTCTACAAAGCTAATTGAACAAATCATTCAAAAGAGACTAATCAGAGCTTTATCGCATTCATACACCGATGGGACACACATCAGAGGCAACAAGGGGTTCAGTGTCTTGCCCAGGGACACTTCGGCATGTGACAGCTGGTGGATTCGAAACCCCCCCCCCCCCCC